GGCTGTTTGGTTTTCAGTGCAAATCTCTTGGGATCAGGCTTTTGAGAAGATGCAATGGCGAGCCGCGTCCATCGGGGGCAGCAGAGCCCAGCGAAGACATTCCCATTGCCAAGGGTGGAGTTCTAAGGGGAGGGGCTTCCTGGACACCAAAGCTGGGACCTCTGACCCCCTTTGTCTCCTCCCCACACCTAAAGGTCTCACCGGCAACGTGCGGCTCCCGTGCAACGTGTTGATGGCAGCCTGCGCTTCTGCATGTGTCTGGAACTTCACGAAGGCGCAGCCTGGCAGGGGAGGAAGAAGGCGGGTTATCTTCTGAGCGTTCCCAATCGAACGGCCGACGCCAATTGCAGAATTCCGGAGTGGCGAGTTTGCTGGAGAATTCGCCCCCCCCGCAACACACCTTTCGGGCAAATATGCCACCTCTCCCAGATTGAGACCAGGGGAAACCCATTCTCCCCGGCTTGTGGCAGAAGGCAGGTGTGCACAGCTCTGATTGGCCGGAGCCGGTGCCGTCACGGAACCACCTCCCCTTTCTCCGGAGCAGTTTTTCAACTATTGATTTGGGTTTTAACAAGCGGACAAACAGGCATTTAACTCCGCGAATACACATGTAAGACTTTAAAAACAGCCTGCCTGGAGCACTTGCGAGAGCAGCGAGTCGATAAATGGAATCAGCATTCAGTGCGCGCATTAGGAAGTCTGTTATTTGCATGGGAGGCAGACAGGGTCAAAACACCCCCACCCCCCATTTGGGGACAATGCACTGCAGCTCTTCACCCCACCCCCACCCTCATTGGATTGCCTCACAGACACTGAATTTCTGAAGCTGCCTTATCTCAAATAGCATCAGGGGTCCATCTAACTCAGTAGTGTCTTCTCTGACTGGTGGCAGCTCTCCAGACTGTGAAGAGAGGTCTTTCCCAAAGCCTGCCATCTAGCATCCTTCAGTCTGGAGATCATACCTGGGGACCTTTTGTATGCAAAGTGTGAGCCAAGCCCTAGAGCCACAGAGCTCCCGATCCCAACCCTAAATAGGGAGACCTCCAGCCAATTCCAGCCCTTGCTTGTTGATGTTCAGCTGATTGGCGGGCAGAAACCGGGCCAAAGGTTCCAGGGGCGTGATTGTCCTGGGGAGAATTTTTTTTTTTTAAATGCCTAATCTACTTACAGGAAGTTCTGACCATAGAGTTTCTAAACGATTCCTAGAGCTACCCAGACGTGACAAGGGTCGCTCTAAAAATCACCAGAAACTCTATGAAGATAGTTTCAGAGGGTAGCCATGTTGCTCTGCAGTAGAAAAGCCAGATCAGGCCTGTAGCTATGGTGGGGCTTTTGGGAGCTCCGCCCCCTTTCTTAAAGGCACAGCCCCACAAGAATTTCTCCTGTAAATGTTTTTTTCAATCATTTAAAAACTTTTTAAAAAGGCATGCACTTCTTTAAGCAGCGTGGGGTGCTGTAGTTGACTAATTCCTGTACTGAGCAAGGGGGTTGGAGTAGGTGACCTCTAACTCTGTGTCAAGAGACTGGTCTCCTTTAAGGGAGATTTTTCTGCCTAAGTGTCAAAGCTCCCTTCCTCAGATGTTGGTCTCTGAGGTGCTCCTCGACTTGTACATCGCTATTCTACTCCAGACCAACATGGCTGCCCTCTGAAACTATTTTCATGGACGGCACCACATTCAGCTGCACGGAGCGGAGATCCACTAACCTTGATATCTGACGAAGGGCGCTTTGACTCTCAAAAGCTGAAACTCTCGTCTGTCTCTGCTGCTGGACTCAGATCTAGCAGAAACTCTATGGCAACCTTATTACAGAGTTTCTGGCAATTGCTAGAGTGACCCTTGTCACTTATGGGTAACTCTAGGAATCGTCAGGGGCTCTATGGTCAGAACTTCAGGTAAGTAGCCAAGGCCTTGTTTTGTCTTTTTGATTTTTTTGTCCTGGATGCTGCCCCCACCAACGCTAACCCTAAAGATCCTTCTGTGAGTCACGGTCACCCTGTCGGGAGCCGCAGAAGAAGCGGCACAGGCTGTGCCATCAGAGCATGGAACACATAAGGCAAGGGCACCAACTCAAGCAGCGTAGTCAGGGTGCGGTCCAAGGTCAAGCACAGAGGCAAGAGCCATCAATAGCCTGGTCTGAGGGTCAGTCCGCACAGCAAGGTCTGGAAGTCCAAGAGGTATCCACGGGCAGGTTCAAAGGGCAAGATGGAAGGCAGAGTCAGGGAACAGCCCAAACAGTCACAGGAACAAGGCAGGATCCAATGCAGTGGTCACAGGGTTGGAGGGATTTCAACTTGTTGCTTCCACACCTGACAGCCTCCCTTGGCTGGTTTTTATAGCCATGTGCTTAAGGGTCATGCTTGCAGCCAGCTGCTCGGAAGATAATCCTGCAGCTACTCATCTTTGCTATCAGCAAGCAGGAGGCGTGCACTTTGTTGTCTCTCCTGTAGCTCTATTCTTAGCTTCCATCTGCGGCGATCTAAGGGTGTGGGTGATACTGGAGGGCTGGGAGTGACCAACTGAGTTTCATCTGTTGAATCAGGGCTGGAGGGTGTCAGTGGTTCTGCACCAGCTGTTGGCTGTGAACCCTTGAGAAGCCCGCTGCTCATCTTCCTGCTTGCCGGGTTCTGCTGACTCAGAGCTGGCTACACGGGGCTCCTCTTCTCCTGAGGAGTCCTCACTGTCGCTGAGCCACGGCTGACCCATGACACAGACTATTGGTCCTTCTCACTCTGTAGCATCTAGTCCGACTGGTAGCAGCTCTCCGGAGTTTCAGACGCCGCTGAACTGGCGACCTTCTGCTTCCAAAACAGAAGCCACAATCCCTCCTATTTAATATAATGGCATTATCCGACCCCCCCATTCCAAGCTGCTTTACGCTACTGCCCAGACTCTCTGGAACTCCCTGTTGATGGTCAGGGAAGGAAAACCGCCCATTTCTGCTCACCTTTGCTGGTGCCGTCAGGACCACGGAGTACCGTGCATTCGTCAATGCTTCCAAAGGGCTCGAACATTTTCCGGACATCCTCGTCTGTTTGCTGCTTACCCAGCATTCCCACAAACAGCTTCCTGTCTTCTGGAGAGGGAGACAGGAAGTCGCATAGATGAAAGGCACCCCTGGCAAAACCTGGCCCACAAGCCACTTTGCTGTCATTTCCAGGAACCCCCTTACTCAGCTCCAAATGGTGGCCCGTCCAAATATCTATTTCTGGAGAACTCATCTTGGGTATGCCAGCCCCCAGTTGGGGCCTGGAGATCTCCTGGGATTTCAGCTCATTTCCAGACTGCCAAGATCAGTTCCCCTGGAGAACATGGATGCTTAGGAGGGTGGACTTTATGGTGTTGTACCACACTGAGGTCCCCCTCCTCATAAGAACATCAGAAGAGCCCTGTTGGGTCAGACCAGTGAGGGTCCATCCAGTCCAGCCTCCTGTCTCACACAGTGGCGAGCCAGTTTCTCTGGTGGGCCAGCAACAGGGCAGAGAGGCCGAGGCCTTCCCCTGAGAAGAGCATCAGAAGAGCCCTGCTGGGTCAGACCAGTGAGGGTCCATCCAGTCCAGCCTCCTGTCTCACACAGTGGCCAACCAGTTCCTCTGGAGGGCCAACAATAGGGCAGAGAGGCCGAGGCCTTCCCCTGAGGAGAACATCAGAAGAGCCCTGCTGGATCAGACCAGTGAGGGTCCATCCAGTCCAGCCTCCTGTCTCACAGTGGCCAACCAGTTCCTCTGGATGGCCAACAACAGGGCAGAGAGGCCGAGGCCTTCCCCGATAAGAACTTCAGAAGAGCCCTTCTGGATCAGACCAGTGAGGATCCATCCAGTCCAGCCTCCTGTCTCACACAGGGGCCAACCAGTTCCTCTGGAGGGCCAACAACAGGGCAGGGAGGCCGAGGCCTTCCCCTGAGAAGAACCTCAGAAGAGCCCTGCTGGATCAGACCAGTGAGGGTCCATCCAGTCCAGCCTCCTGTCTCACACAGGTGCCAGCCAGTTCCTCTGGAGGCCCAACAACAGGGCAGAGAGGCCGAGGCCTTCCCCTGATTTTACCGACTGGCTCTGGGATTCAGAGGCTTAGTGCCTCTGAACATGGACGTTCCCCTCAGTCACCATGGCTAGTAGCCACCGATAGACCTCCCCTCCATGAATCTATCTAACCCCCTTTTTAAAGCTGTCTGTTCCTGTGGCCGTCACTACATCCTCTGGCAGCGAATTCCACATTTGAATCACTCTCTGTGTAAAGTAGTATTTCCTTTTGTCCGTCCTGTACCTACTGCCCACCAGTGTCATTGGATGGCTTCGAGTTCTAGTCTTTCGGGAGAGAGAGAGAAATTCCTCTTTGTCATCCCCTGTCTCCAGCGCCAAACCTCCAAGAATTCCCCAGTTACTTCTGGTAATCAGATAACCATCCAAAGTCTCTATTCAATCCAAATATGTAAATTTGACTCCGTCAGACTTGGACTGAATAGAGACTTTGGATGGTTATCTCATTACCAGAAGTAACTGCCTTTCAGGTATTCCATTCACATTCATCAGTAGAAGGAAGGGGTCCCACACAGCCTGGATTGTGCATTCTACCTTTTCCATGACTTCTGCAACTGCTTTGCATTTACCTGGCCCTTTCTGCATCCTCCCCCACCCTCCCCTTACCACCTATATATCTCTGGCCAGCTTCTTCATACCCTCCATGCATCTGACGAAGAGAGACGTGTTCCTCGAAAGCTTATGCTACGATATGTTGTCGAAGGCTTTCACAGCCAGAGTTCATTCGCTGTTGTAGATTTTCTGGGTTGTCTGGCTGTGGTCTTGGCATTGTAGGACCTGACGCTTTGCCAGTAGCTGTGACTGGCATCCTCAGAGGTATAACACGGAAAGATGGAGTACTCTCTGTGTCAAGGTGTGAAGAAAAATGGTAGGCAGGTGATTGATGTCTGCTCAGGAAGGTGGGGTAGGGCTGAGTCATTATCCTGTAGGAGTTCCCCAGGCTGTGACATGCTAATGGAGGAACTTTCCCGAGGAGGTTCTTTTGCATATGGATTCGCTGTTGAAATTCTAAACTTATCTGTACTGCTATTGTAAGATGTAGAGCATTTCGTGTTTTTCAGGACAGGAAACCATGCCCTATTACATAGCCTAACTCAAACAGGACACAGCAGGGGTCATTTCGTAGAAAAAGAGCTAGGGGAACTCATTAGCATAACTCATTAGCATATGCCACACCCCCTGACATCACGGGAAGTGTGTCATAAGGCCACACACCCCGCCCCCAACGGTCCCGGCCACTACCACCGGCCTTGCAGCTCCACTGCCGAGCCCCATGAGGGGCCCGGCGGTGGACCTGCAAGGCTGGCGGGAGTGCAAGGAAGCCCCGCGAAGGCCCTCCCTGGCCCCAGGCAGGCAGGGGTGGGGAGAGGCAGGGAGGAAGCAACTTAACCTCCCTCTTCTCCTGCCTCCTCCTGGCTGAATGAGTGCCGGAAGCGGGGCGGTTGGAAGCAGGGGGCGGGGCTTCGTCATGTGCCCCGCCCCTCGTACCTCACCCAGGGGAACTGCGTTCCCCTGCGTTCCCCCCGAAATGACCTCTGGGACACAGTATCTTATACCAAGACACTGATAGGCTGGACAACACATCCAATTGCCAGGTCAGATTACACAGGGAAGCCATTGAAATTCATAAACATAAACACAATTTTAACAGGAAAGAAGAGAGCTTAAAAATAAATAAGGCATGGTTTCCTGTCCTAAAAAAACCACAAAATGCTCTACATCTTACAATAGCACCACAGATAAGATTAGAATTTCAACATCCAATCCCTATGCAAAAGAACCTCCTGAGGAAAGCTCCTCCATTAGCATGTCACAGCCTGGGGAATCCTACAAGATAATGACTCAGCCCTACTCCACCTTCCTGAGCAGATATCAATTACCTGCCTACCATTTTTCTTCTCACCTTGACATAGAGAGGACTCCCTCTTTCTGTGTTATACCTCTGGGGATGCCAGTCACAGCTGCTGACGAAACGTCAGGTCCTACAATGCCAGACAACCTGGAAAATTTACAACAGCTTATGCTACAATAGTTTGTTAGTCTGAAAGGCGCTACTGGGCTTTTTACAGTCTATCAAGGCTGTAAACGCGGGAGTGGACTGTACCACCCTCACCTCGAAACCCTCAGATGTTGTACGTACCTCCTCTGCTCTCGCTGTCCGCTGGTTTCACTTGGATCGGCCGGTTCATCTGCAAAGAGAAGGAGACAAGCGGTGAAAAGAGACTCTAAGAAACGCGAGTAGACCTTCTCGGGAACGAAAGGAGGGAGTCCCATCTCTCGCGCTGTCCCGCTCTGAAAGAACTATTCAAAAGAAAGGTTTTCAAAGGAATCAAAGGAACGCTTTTGCTAGCCGGAAAAGATGCAAGCGATCCTGCAGGAATGATCCAAGAGATCCCGGCTTCCAGTAATAGATGACGCAAAGTCCTTTTTTGGCAGGAATACCGTGAGTTGGAATGGGTACAAAGCAACAATCCCTTACCGATTGGACTCAAACCAATTTCGGCCTATTAGAAGGGGGAAACCCTCTTATTCACCAAAACAAGCCCCCGATGAGTGAACAAATCGGAGAAGAGCTGAAACGGAAAGTGTGAAGGTGGGAAAACGGCTCCTGGGTCAGTGTCAAGGAGACATGCTCCTCCAACGAGAGCATTCGAGTACATATTTCTGTTCTGTTGCAGTAGAATAGAGCAAGAACCCAGGAGCACCTTAAAGACTAACAAAATATGTGGCAGACGAGGAGCTCTCATGAGTCACTGCTCACGTCTCCAGATAACAGCTAGAAATGGGAGTCCATCTGTCCAATTTATGAATTATCTATTAATGGGACAGATGGGACTCCCATCGTAGCTGTATCTGATGAAGTGAGCCGTGACTCACGAAAGCTCCTCCCCGCCACGTATTTTGTTAGTCTTTAAGGTGCTCCTAGAGGAGCTGCGGTGGCTCAAGTGGTTAAGACGCTGAACTGCAGGCTGTGGAAGGTCGGTAGTTCAGCGGTTCGAGACCCGGGTTGCTGCATGACGGAGTGAGCTCCCGTCTCCAGTTCCAGCTCCTGCCAACCTAGCAGTTCGAAAGCAAGACATTGCAAGTAGATAAATAGGGACCACTTCAGTGGGAAGAGAACAGCGTTCTGTGCGCCTTGGTGTTTAGTCATGCCGGCCACATGACCACGGAAACGTCTTCGGACAGCGCTGGCTCTTCGGCTTGGAAATGGAGATGAGCACTGCAACCCTAGAGTCGGAGTCGACTGGCTTTCAAGCAAGGTGCTCCTGGACTCTTTAAGGTGCTCCTGGACTCTTGCTCTTTTCTACTGCTGCAGACAGACTAACACGGCTACCCATCTTCCCCCCCACCCCGTTTATTTACCATTTTACAGCATTATATACGTTACATGACAGTTAAACATATACATTTATGTGAGTCATATTTACATTGTGTTATTCAGCCATAGATACAGTTTTTTCCCATCTTTTCTCGTATCATTCCTGATCTTTCCCTTGTAGTATTAAACTTAACCTATCCATTTCGGCCATCAATAACAATTTTTCTATCAGTTCCTCCTTTGAGGGTATTCTGTTTTCCAGCACTTTGCTAACATTATTCTCGCTGCAGTGAAAATATATGTTATTATATATACATTTTCCTTGTTGCGTGTTTCTGGAAACATGTTTAATAAACGTGCTTCTGGCACAAATGGTATTTCAAGTCCAGTTACGTCTTTTATTATTTTATATGTTTTGTGCCAATAATTTTGTATTTTTTCACATCTCCACCACATGTGGTAGAATGTGCCGACATTTTTTTTACATTTCCAGCAGTTTCTATTTCTATCCACATAGCATTTTGCTATTTTATCAGGTGTCCAGTGCCACCTGTGAAACATTTTATATATATTCTCTTTATACGGTATAGCTCTCATCAGTTTGGCTGAATTCCATATTTTAGACCACTGATCGATGTCTATCCTATGTATTCTACCCATCTTGATCTTGTACTGTTTGTTTGGACTGTTTTGCGCTGGTTATGAACTGTAATAAAGCGATGATGACGACGAGATCTTGTACTGTAAGAGGAATTCTCCCAGTTTCTTACTCTGGAAATTCTCCCGGTTTCTTACTGTTCTGAATCTACTATGGCCCCTTCTGTGATTGGGGGGGGGGGGTAGAGGGAAGAAGAAAAAGAAGAAAAAGAGATTGGATTTCTACCCCGCCCTTCACTACCCAAAGGAGTCTCAGAGCAGCTTACAATCTCCTTTCCCTTCCCCTCCCCACAACAGATACCCTGTGAGGTAGGTGGGGCTGAGAGAGCTCTGACAGAAATGGCTCTTTTTTCAAGGACAGCTCTTATCAGAACTACGGCTTGCCCAAGATCATCGGGCAGGTGCAAGTGGAGGAGTGGGGAATCAAACCCGGTTCTCCCAGATTAGAATCTGGTGCACTTAAGCACTACACCAAACAGAAAAGAAGAAGAAGAAGAAGAAGAAGAAGAAGAAGAAGAAGAAGAAGAAGAAGAAGAAGAAGAAGAAGAAGAGATTGGAGTTATACCCCACCCTTCACTACCCAAAGGAGTCTCAGAGCGGCTTGCAAACTCCTTTCCCTCCCCCTCCCCACAACAGACACCCTGTGAGGTGGGTGGGGCTGAGAGAGCTCTTGACAGAAACTGCTCTTTTTCAAGAACAGCTCTGACAGAACTATGGCTTGCCCAAGGTCATCCAGCAGGTGCGAGTGGAGGAGTGGGGAATCAAACCCGGCTCTCCCAGATTAGAGTCCGCGCACTTCACCACCACACCAGAGAAACTGATCTCTGTGGTCTGAAGATGAGCTGCAATTCCAGGGGGATCCCCAGGTCCCACCCGGAGGCTCGCGCCCTTAGTAGCACCCCTGGATTTCTTTGGTAGTCTCCCACCCAAGTACTAACAAGGGTCCAACCCTGCTTAGCCTCTGAGATGTGACGAGATCAGGTCAGGGTTTTTGGGGATTAAAGGTAAAGGTAAAGGTTCCCTTGCTCGAAAGCCAGTCAAGTCCGACTCTAGGGTTGCGGCGCTCATCTCCGTTTCAAAGTCGAAGAGCCGGCGCTGTCCGAAGACGTTTCCGTGGTCATGTGGCCAGCATGACTAAACACCAAGGCGCACGGAACGCTGTTCCCTTCCCACCAAAGTGGTACCTATTTATCTACTTGCGATTTCTTGCTTTCGAACTGCTAGGTTGGCAGGAGCTGGGGCCAGAGATGGGAGCTCACTCCGCCATGTGGCAACTCGGGTCTCGAACTGGTGAACTACCGACCTTCCACAGCCTGCAGTTCAGCGTCTTAACCACTTGAGCCACCGCAGCTCCTTTCGGGGATTAGGGGACAGGATTTCTGCATTAGAGGGAGGCCCGTGCAACACCTCGAGCACTTTTGAGTTACATCGTTTCAGCCGTACGAGAAGTTCGTTTGGACATTCGGCCTCTTTTCTCTGCACTTCCTCTGCCACCACCCCCTCCTTTCCCCCAAAGAAGCCTGTCAGCAATCGGAGGAGGTTAAAGCCTGCCCGAAACGGCTCTCTGCTGCTCGCGGGATTAGAAAGGGTTAGATTATCTCAGCGGGAACTTTAGGCCTTTTTCGGTAAAAGCATTTGTAATCATATTAAAGGAAAGCGGCGCTGGGGGAGGCCAACGGGGCCCTTGAAATTCTTAGCGGAGGAGGACAACGAGGGGGGGGGGAAGAGAGCGAGAAGGCAGCAAGGGGGGGATTCTTTTGCAAAGGCCTTAGCGGTCAGCAGGGTCCTGTGCATAGGAAATCTGGAGCGGCCGGGCAAGGTCATTCCGGAGTCTGCCGTTTAGTACCCTGCTTCTTACCCTGCTTCTTTTCTTCTAAGCTGGGAGAACCGGGTTTGATTCCCCATCCCTCCACTTGAAGCCAGCTTGGTGACCTTGGATCAGTCACAAGCTCTCTGAGAGCTGTTCTCTCAAGGACAGTTCTAGAAAGAGCTCTCTCAGCCCCACCTGCCTCACAGGCTGTTCGTTGTGGGGAGGGGGAAGGGAAAAGGAGTTTGTAAGCCGCTCTGAGACTCCCGTGGGTAGTGAAGGGCAGGGTATAAATCCAATCTCCTCCTCATCCTCCTCCACTTGCACCTGGCTGGATGACCTTGGGCAAGCCATAGTCCGGTCTGAGCTGTCTTTGAAAGAGCAGTTTCGGTCAGAGCTCTCTCAGCCCCACCTACCTCACAGGGTGTCTGTTGTGGGGAGGGGAAGGGAAAGGAGATTGTAGGCCGCTCTGAGACTCCTTTGGGTAGTGAAGGGCGGGGCATAAATCCAATCTTCTCCTACAACATTATTTTTAAAATGTTTAAAAGTTCATCAGCTTTCAGGATACAGATCGAAAATTTCATTTCCCTCATGAGAGTTTCGGCACATCTTCCCCCTCCAAAGCCCTGACCGGCATTATCCTCAGGGGAGTTGTCACCACTAAAAACAGGGTGCTTCCCACTGCGGCGGGGGTGGGGTGGGGGGATGAACCTGAATGATCGAAGCCCCCCCCGAGGGAAATCTTCCAGGGGGCCCCCCTTGCCATTTCTAGGTGGTTAGTGAAATCATTTCTCTTCTTGGCTCGAAAAAGCAGGTCAAACCGCGGTTATTTTCACATCTTCCTTTTCACGATGAAGTCATCGGTTTGTTTTTATACGTTTCAGATTTTTGTAAAGAAATTATGAACTACGGAACTGTAACTAGAGTGGGGGGGGGGAGTTTGCAGACATGAGAATCGACTGATAAGCTGTAGACTGAATCCAACACAGTTTAAAACAAACAAACAAATACCGGTTGCAGAGAGAGGATGCAACCCTCAGTTCAGTTCAGAAACCTTTAATGGCATAAAATAAGGGCAAATACAATGAGTAAAAGCAGGGGTCATTTCCTGCGGGAGCGCACAGGAGCAGAGCTCCGGCAGTAAGGAGCCCAGGGGGGCGGGCACATGCAACAAGCCCTGCCCCCTGCTCCCAGCAGCCCTCAGTTGGGCCATGAGGACCAAGAAGCAGCCAGGTAAGTTGCAGAGCCCCCCCCAACCCGCCTTCAGGTACAAACTCTCCCTCCTCTGTGAAGGCAGATCTGAGCATTCCCCCCCCCCATAGCTAGCAATCCAAAAGAATCCAGTGACAAATTTAAGACCAAGTTTTATTCAGGTACAAGCTCTCCCTCCTCTTTGAGGGCAGATC